AGCACCAGGGGCTTAGTACCTGTAGCAGGGCCAGGGCCCACGTGAAGCGGATGTGACAGCAGCGAAGAGAAGAACGGGAGGCAAAGACACCGGCCTGGTACAGCATCTGGTACCTTGGACAGAAGCAGGGAGTAGGAAGAATCCTCTCTGGTGCCTACTCCTACGGCAGCCCCTGCCAACCCCAGGCCCTATCATCAAGGGGCCCTCTCAACAGACTGCCCGTCCTGCCACCCACCATCACTGTCCTTACCAGCGGTACTGCTGAGCGTGACTCAGGGACGAATTCCGGAAGAAGAGGAGCTCAAACTATACCAAGGACCAGACAGGGTGGATGGACAGGGATGTGTGAGTTCCCACCCTGGCCTCTATTTCCACACCCCCTGAGGAGCCCCCACTCACAAGTCCCTGATTGATGAAATACTCAGCAAAGTAAACCAAGACCAAGGGGATGATGTGGCACAGCAGGCCCTGGAAGAGTCAGAAGTGGAAGGGTGGGAAAGGGGCACTGGCCACAGACAGGACAGGCCGCAGCCACCAGCCATACCTTGAACACAGTCCATCTTTCCTGAAGGGAGAGGTTTGAGCTGGTGTCTGTGGAGAAGCAAGAAGAGAAGGGCAGCTGAGGCTGGCAGACTGACCTTGCAAAGGGTGCTGGTGGGAGTCGGCCAGCTGACACAACAGGGTGAATGCACTGGAGTGTACAATTAAAAACGGTTACATTGGCATACTTCATGTTATGTGTATTTCACCATGAGAGAAAGAGAGAGAGAGAGAGAGAGAGAGAGAGAGAGAGAGAGAGAGAGATTCTTCGTGGAAAAAAAGGAAGTGTACTAGATTTCTTTTATATCTCTTCCTTAAAAAATACTGGGTCTGAGCATTTCCTGTGAAAGTAAAAGGTTTAAATGAACTTCTAATAATGAACTTTAACATACCAGAGAAATTTCCTAGAAATTTACGTTCAATTCTTTCTTCTTCAAGCAACACATCTTTCATTACAGTAGAGAGATAGAAAGAGAGAGAGAGAGAGAGAGAGAGAGACAGAGAGAGACAGAGAGAGACAGAGAGAGACAGAGAGAGAACGAACACGTGTGTGCACTCTTAGGACCTCCTGTGTCTCCTACCTGGCTTTGACTCTGGGGCCTCGTTGCTTATCAGAGGCTGCCGGGCTGCCCTCTCTGCCTCTTCTTCCCCTCCAGGGTCCTGAGGCTCGGGAAATGTGAGCAAAAAGAAATAGCTAGGAATAGGCGGAACAAAGACAAGGTCGAAGAGCCTCTGTCAGGTGGGCAAGGCCACTCCCTCCCAGGGCAGCCCCCCTCATTTCCCCTCTAAGGCACCCCATCCTACGCCAGAGAGCTCCAGCTGTGGAAAAATGCCTCCTTCTCTAGGGCTGAAATTTGTCTCCTTGTTGCTTCTACGCAAAGGCCCTCGTTTTGACTCCTGGCTCACACTAAGCGAATCAGCTGTTTTCCTGACACTATGATTCTAATGATTGCTCTAGCTGACATTTATTATATGTTCATTTTGTGCTAGGCCAGAACCACCCAAATTCCAGTCACTTATGTTCTGCCTTCGTGCTATTTGTCATATGCGCATTCCTCTTGTGCATAATATTTTTCCCTTGATATTTTCCTTTAAACCGATTCCCTTTTTCTACATAGCCTTGTTCTAAACAATCTGTGAAATCACAGGTTTGACTGACTAATTAAAATTCTTTCCTAATACACATGAAAATAGACATAAAATTAATAAAGTCCGCCCTTGTCCCCCTCAAATCGTCTTGGGAACCACACCGTTCTAGATGCTTCACACATTATCACCTCAGAGGAAAGCAAGGAGAACCACCACATGTGGGAAAATTGAGGGTCAGAGAAGTAAAGCAACGTGTCCCACACCACACAGCTAACAGGCGGTGGCCCCAGACTCAAACCCAAGCCTTTCAGAGTCCAGAACCTACATCCCTCATAACAAGGCTGTAGGGATCTGAAGATTGGGGTCATGATCTAGTTCTCTCTCCTTGAATCCCTTTTCCTCCCAGCGCAGGACAACTTACCTGGCCAGTAGCAGAGCGGGGATACCCAGCATGGACAGCAAGGTGTGCTGGGGGGAGAGGCCAGCCTGGGTGAGGCCCAGGTAGGACAATGCCCCCAGCAGCCCCGCTCCCCCAGTACCTGAGGACCACCAGGAGATCACAGCCCTGAGGAGAACACAGGAGCACTAAGGAGGGCTGAAGCCAGCAGCAGGACCTCCTCTCTGTGCTCCCTGTTCTGCCTGCTTACCTGGGGTAGAAGGAGGTGAGTGAGAGGAAGGTGACCTCCCCCAGACCTGATGAGATGCTAGCCAAGACCACACCTGGGGGAGAACAAGCATGACAGTGGGCATAGCTAGCCTCTCCCCAGTAGCCTCAATCCCCTAAGGTGTCTGGCCATGGCCTCCTCTGTATCAGCTCAGAGGAGCTAAATACAGACCCTTGGACAGGTGGCAGTCCAGATCTGAAGAACCAACCGCTCCTCTGAATGTTCTCTCCCAGGGAGTGGTACCTCCATCCACTTAGTTATCAAACCAGGAGCAAGAACTCACGCTGGACTCCTTCTCCACCCCCGTCACAGAGCATTGGTTCCTCTGCCCATCTCAATCTCCACCTAATTCATCCATTTCTTCCCATCTCCCCCAGCACCTACCCCTCCAAACTGACCTCATCTCCCATTTTCTTGTGCGATCCTATCAGTTTCTGAGGGTTACAAAAATAACCCCTTTCCTCTGGGAAGCTGGGGAGGCTAACCCCACAAATGCTGTCGCGGGTCCTCTGGGCCTCCCACCTGACACAAAACCTCATGCTCACCACACAGGCTGGTCCCCACTGAATGAGAAAAGGCAACGAGGATGAAGCTTCCAGCTGCGCAAACCCCGCTGACGAGAACCCGGGGACTGTGGGAAGAGTGGAGAGGGAAGGGGAAGGTCAGCTTCTGCTCTCAGCTCCCAGCCCTCCCCCCACATCCTTTGCCCTCCTGCCCTCCCCGCTGCCACCCTGACCCAGACCTGTAGGGCAGTAGATGAAGGCCAAGAGGAGCCAGCAATTTGATGACAAGTGTGGGGAGGATGTCTGCCAGGAGCACCGCCTGGGACAGGAGAACAGAGTGACACTCCAGACCTTCCCAGGGACAAACCTCCGAATCGAGTGGCCAAGGAAAGCCAGAAACCAGCCAATTAGACCTGCCACAAACACAGGCTCTGAAGTCAGATCTGGGTTCAAGTCCCAGCTCTGTGGCTCCTTGGCTATATGTCGAGGCATTCATATTCTCTGAGGACATTCAGTGTCCTCACCTGGAAAATGGGGGCTGATTATAGTACCCAGCTCACAGTACTGTTCTGTGAGTTAAATGAGCCAATATATGCTACACACAGAAAGGGTTCAGTATATGGCAGTCTTTATTATTATAATGAGGACAGTCCCAGCTGGGTTCTGGGGGGCTGGGGTGGGGGGTCAGGGGAGGACCAAATGGACACTTACAGCCGTGGAGACAGAGTTGCAGTCAAATCGAGATGAGTTATTGTGGGGGATAGGCATTGGTTCTGGGTCCACCTGATGGGAGAGAAGGAAGTCTTTCTTTCACCCAGGGAGGTAGGAGGGTAGACAAACAGGGCCTGCTCTGCTCCAATGCCAGCTCTGCTCTAACTAGAAGGATGGCCTTGGGTCAGCACTGGCCTCTAGGACTTCAGTTTCTTTATGTGCACAATGGGGAGACAGAGGTTCCAAAGATGGCCTTGTAAATGGACTTTATTTCATTTAAAAATTTGGGTTTCCAGAAAATCTGATCTTGGACCAAATTCTCTGTCGATCCTGCAAGATAGCAGCTGCTGCCCTTGGGCATGCACCCTCCAACCCCTCATAGACAAGAGATTCTCAACTGGAGGTGACTATACCCGTCAGGGAACATTTGGCAATATCTGGAGACATTTTTGATGATCACGACTAGAGGGCAGGGGTTGCTATTGGCATCTAATGGATAGAGGCCAGGGATGCTGCTAAACATCCAGCAATGACAGGACAGTCCTCAACAAAGAACTATTCAGCCCTAAATGTCAACAGTGCTTAGAGGTTAAGAAACTGCTTTATACCATGGTCCTACCCAGTCAACATCTGAGTTTGTACACCTGGCACCAACTGATTCTTAAAGACCCTTTCTGTTCTGCGATATGGGAGACTGGGAACCCCATTCCATGAGTTTTTCAAGGGGGCCTCTTACCCAGGGTGAGTCTTTTATCTCCCCACAGGGACTAAATACAGTAGTGGTTGGTAGGAGAGAGGGTCACTTACATGGCTCTGGTTCCCAGATGCCCTCTGGTGGCTAAGAATGTCATGAGCAGCACTGAGCATCACCACGTAAGAGAAGTTGTTGCAAAGGCCCAGGAGCCTGGAGTGAGCAGGACAGATTTTCCCTCCCAGTTTTACTGAGATATAATTGACATATAAGAACAGATCTTAACCTCCTTTGGGGCCTACGATCTATCCAAAGTCCTAGCAACAAACCTCCTCCTTTCCTGTGCCCTTCAATCAGCTGTCTCTTTTTTCTCTATCATCAGACTTCATCTCCATTTTGTGTTAAAGTCAGAAATTCAGGCTTTGGTATCACAGACTTGAGTTCGCATTTAATCTCCAAGACTTCACCCAGGAAGAGAAGAAAGTCATCCTTGATGACTCTTTCCTCTGAACTCCCACCATGATTCAGTTCCTGTGGCATTTCTCATCCACTGATCCACTGTCTCTGATGCGCTGTGGTACGGTAGAAAGCTCCTAAAGCTTGAAACCCAAAGGACTATGTTCAGGTCCCAAGTCTGCCAAGTCTACTTGAATAGTCTCAGTCGACCCATGTGTAAAGCAGAGATACAAATTTCTCTCCTGACTACCTTGCAGAGTGCTGTAGGGATCAAAACAAGATAATACCAAAGTCCTTTAAGATCCATGAAGGATCTTGTTTGTTTACTATCTCCCAGAGCTTCACTCAGTGATGGGAATGGAACTGGGCCCAGTGTCAGAGATTTCATGTGTCCTTTTCACAAGCCTATGAAGTTACGCTACTGCTCTTCCCATTTCACCGCTGAGAAACAAGCTCAGAGAGGCTATGTGATTCTTCTAGAGTTACCTGGGAAGTCGCTTCCAACCCAATCTGCCACCTGAGTCCTTGATGTAAATATCGAGGTTAGTGCTAGAAATATTTCCTAAGGCTCAGTAGTTGAGTGATTTTAGGACGTAAACAGATGATCTTTTAAAAAGTAGTGATGCATTTATTTAAACGTGCATCAGGAAAATATTGGCTTTCTGTCTAGTGTAGTGATTTAAAGTTTTCTTTTAAAAATTACGTGTATATACAAACTTAAAGGCTTAATTGGTTCGAGAAAAAACATTAAATAAATAATCCTACAGAGGGTATGAGGATCTGGTCAAAATATTAAGTTCAAAACTTGAAGGTGATAAGTAAATAAGTGAAGTTTGGTTAATTTACAAGTTGCCTCATGTAAACCAACTGGTTCAGTAAATATTTGTGGATTCAGCTCCTTTTTCACAGCTCAATTCTTCCTTCCCTCTTTTCTCCTGTGGCTTCTCTCTTCCCACCCCATTTTTACTTATGTTGAACTCTTCAGGCCACTCACCAGAAGCCCATCGCGTTCTTCCAATGGGCGCCCTGACTGTCCGGCAGAGGGAGCCGAGACTCTGGGGCGGTCTCTTCCCCTGGGAGGGCGAGAAAAATAATTCATGACTCCCCAACCCCATTCTCAAGTGCATGATGGCTCAGCTCCGGAGCTCTTTAGGTGGGTCGCGGGGAACGGCAGTCACTCTGATGAGGGATGCTCACCCTCAGAATCCGAAAGGCGCCGCCGTGAGCCAGCACAGCCTCCCATGGTATCAAGTTCAGGTCCCCCGAGGAGTCCAAAGTCAACAAGAGTTCAGAGTTGGCTGCGATGGGGCGGATGAGGGTCTGCGACATGTGAGAAAGACATGTCGGCCCACTGCGGGTCCCAGCTGCGGCTTCTCCGCTGCACTCGCGCCCCGCGATCCACCACGCTAACCTTGGATTCCATCTCGCGCCCTCGCACGCCCACCACGCCTCACCCAACGGACTCTGCCCTCGCCCCCTTTAAAGCAGGGGCCCAACAGCCTGTACCTTTAAGAGTAGCTGAGCATTCCGCACCAAGGAACAACAGGTTGGTGGGTCACGTGACGGCACCGGCGCGTCCCCCATCACGTGCTCGGCAGTTCTGCCCACTTCCGGGTCTTCTCTCGGTCTTCGCTTTAGGCCTTTCCAGCTTCGGGGTGTAGGACCGAGGGAGGCCGAGAGAACCCTGGAACCGCTGGGTCAAAACTGGAGTGGGTGGGATCAGCAAGAAGAGCCCTGATGTTAGGTTAGCGGCGCCCAAGGCGGTGATCGTGTAGAGCCAGCACTAATCATGGCTGCGAGCGGCTTCAGTTCCTTTCGCAGTCTTCGCTTACCAAAAACAAATATGGCCACTTGGCTGTTCGTCGCAGACAAGACTGTTTCTGGCCGGGAACAAAGACCGCCAGCTGCAGGTCATTGTTATTCCTATTTGTTGCCCCTAGATTGCTTTAGAAACTGAAAATAAAGATAACGCCCACTTAAGCGGATTTCATGAATTATCTATGGGCAGTATTCAAGGCTTTAAGAGATCCGTTTCTCAATTTATTCTAGAACCAATGAATATCACCGTAATAGTCCAAACCTCGGTTTTACAGATGAGAAAAAAAGAAAAAAAAAAAAAGGAAAGTTATCAATGATCGTATAAAGTTAGGCGTAAAGGTGACCTTAGAGACCCTTTTAGCAATAAGAAATCGAGCACCAGAGATTGGTACTGGCTGAGCAGGCTGCTGCAGGATTTCTGCCAGCATCAAAGGTGTTTAGCTTAGTCCAGACGATTCCAAGTCCCATGATTCTGATTCTGTGATCTCATCAAGTTCCTCTAATTGGAAATTTGGGAAGTGGGGCTCAGGGGACTGGGGGAAGAGGTGTAAATCAACTTCATTTCACATAGTCCGGAATAAGGAGTGGATGCTCTTACCTTCCTCTAGGTGGTAAAGCAGCATTTTGCGTTTCCTTCATCACATCCTTCCCCTGCTAAATCTCTGCTGTGGGCTTCCAATAGCTGGTGCCCAGCTCTACTAGCTCTTTCTCACCGCCAGGCCCTCAGACTGCCGTTCGAAATGTATTTCCTTGGTCTTCTTCCCAGGTCACTCAACCACTGAAAAATGGGGTCCTACTACCCATACAGGGCCCTGGAAATTCAGCAACATGTCATACATGGCCTCTGCCCTCAAGGAACTCACAGGAGGGTGGGAGGTAGACACAAATAACCACAATGAGAAGCTCAGCCAAGTTTTGTTTCGCAAGAATGACTGCAGATGAGGGAATGGGCATTTAAGCCACCAAACCAGCCCCTTCTTTCCCTTGGGGAAGCATTAATGGCCTTGAAATGAAAAGCTAGAGCTCTTACCAGCCCCCTCCTCACTCCCACTCTTTGTCCTCAGGCAAAACAGGAACCACAAACCCCAGCTTCCTCTCACAAAGTGGCTGTGGCTTGGGGGGAGGCGGAAATGGCTGAGGTGTTAATATAAGACCTGAGTCATTTGAGCTGCAGTTGCCACATGCCCCCTCCCCCAGTCCCAATTCTGAGGTCTCTTGCTCCCATTTTTTTCCTTTCTGGCTTCCTCCCTTGCCATGTAGCTCCTAAAGTGCACCTGAGTCCCCTGTGTGGTACACATCCATTTCCCAGCCTCGGCTGGAAGCTGCTGTGGGCATTGCGGAAGGTGGGTAGGGCCTGGGGTAGGGATGTGTCAGGGGAGACAGGGGAAGAGGAAGTGTCTTGGGTCCCGGGGAAGACCAGCTTGTCTTGGTGGGTGGAGACGGTCATTGCCAGCCTTCTGGACACACAGGCACAGACAAGATGGATTTTCTCCGGCTACATCTCCCTGAGCTGCATCAGGCCTTGAGGGGGGCACTGGTGAGAGGGACAAAGAGATGCCAGAGACTTTCACCCTGCTCACCCGGGCTTCACCTTCTTTCCTCCCTTTGAACTTCTCCTCAGACTTGAGGTTCCTTTCCTAGGATCAGGCAGCCTTCTAGCCCAATCTTTTCTGGATTTCAATCCTCCCACCTCCACAAACACATCCACATAACTTGAATCTAGGCCCTTTCCTATTCCTTCTATAGATCCTGTTCTCCTTCTCCTCCTGATTTCAGAACTCCTCTTCCTATTTGGAGTTTCTCTGGCCCAGGGCCCCCAGGGAGAGAGCTGGGTCTCCCCTTAATGGCTTCATCCCTTCTTTTTCTTCTAGGATTCCTTCAGCACCTTTGTCTCCTACCTTATAGGAGATGAGGTCCCCATTGCAGAGAGGAGGGAGGCGCGGGCAGCTGAGGAACTAGGGGAGGTGGCTGCAGGAAAGCCAGGGGAGACTGCAGAGGAGGGAGCCCAGGAGGCCCTGGAAGGCCTTGGAGGCAGCGAAAGCAAGAGGGATGGAGGACTTAGAGGGCCTGGAGAGGGTAGAAGATGCCAGGAGGGAAGCTCAGCTACAGAACAAACCTGGGGTTGGAGAGAAAGCAGCTCCTATGGGTCTCAAGCAGATAGGCAGGATACTGGGGCCTGGGAGGCAGCCAAAGCCTCCCAGTGCCAGGAGCCAAGTGCCCCCTTGGAGGCCAGAAAGAAGTCTGAGGCAGGGTCTGAGGCTGGTAAAGACAGGAGCAGCCAAGCCCAGGAGAGTCAGGAGCACAATGTGCAGGAAGTGAACAGAGAGGAGACACTGAGAACTTGGGAACAAGAGGAGGAGGAGGAAGAGGTCAGGGCAAGAGAGCCAGGGGTGGTTGGAGGGGTGGAGTCAGAGTGGACCTGGCAGAAGGAGCCTGAGAGGAAGGCCAGTGCTGATGGGCAGAAGATAGAGAGTGATGTCAGGGAGTTAGAAGAGGCAGTCGAGGAGGTCGTTGCAGAGGAGATCCAGAGGGCTGGGGTGAAAGAGGCTGAGAGAGAAGAGATTGTGGTCATGGTGAGGAATGACCAAAGCACAGGGGCACAGTGGACACAGGAGCTCGGGGCAGAATCTGAGGATGGCACAGCCTTGGGCAGAGAGAAGGCCAGCGCAACCTTAGGCAGGGAGGAGGCCTGGACACCCTCAGGTGGGGAGGAGGCCGAGAAAACCTCAGATTGGAAGGAGGCCAGTACAGCCTCAGATGGGGAGGAGGCTGGGACAGCCTTAGGCAGGGAGGAGGCCTGGACACCCTCAGGTGGGGAGGAGGCCGAGACAACCTCAGATTGGAAGGAGGCCAGTACAGCCTCAGATGGGGAGGAGGCTGGGACAGCCTTAGGCAGGGAGGAGGCCTGGACACCCTCAGGTGGGGAGGAGGCCGAGACAACCTCAGATTGGAAGGAGGCCAGTACAGCCTCAGATGGGGAGGAGGCAGGGACAACCTCAGGTGGGGAAGAGGCTGGGAAAACCTCAGGCAGGGAGGAGGCTGACCTCCCAGGAGTTCGGGAGACAGAATATGGGGCAGTCCCAGGAGATAGGATCCCAGAGGGTACCAGGAGAGTCTGGGCCCTAGAGATGACCTTGAAGGGAGACCAGGAAAAGGAGGTGAATGGAAATAGAGAGGCAGAGGTAAACCTGTTCTTGAAACAGACTCAGGCCCTGGGAATTGAGGATGTAGAAGAAGTGGCTAAGAACCAGACAGCAGGGAGGGAGGCTGCAGAACGCCAGGGGTCAGATGAGGAGGTAGGGGAGGGCTTTGAGGGTCAGACAGATCAGGATGAGAAAGAGGCCATGGGGAGGCAAGACTCAGAGATCAAGGCTGTTCAAGCCAGTCTAGAGGAGTTGTTGCAGACACAGGAAGCCAAGGAGGAGAAAGAGAGTTGCTGGGTCGTAGAGGTTGGGCTGCCCCAGGACAAAGCAGCAAACGAGGCTGAAGGTGATGCTGACTTGGAGGCAACTCCAGAGACCAGACCTGAGAAGGAGTTCAGGGAGGAAAAGAGTGAGGAGGAAGCTCAGATGGGTGGAGAAGCATTGGGGGTGGAGTGTGGTGCCCTCTGGCACAAGGTCAGTGAAGGCCAGGAACCTGAGCTGATGCAAGGCCCCCAGATCCCAACAGAGCAACCTGAGGAAGGACAGGGGCATAAGGAAGGGCTATGGAGCATTCCGGCTCTGAGCAAAGAGGAGACAGAAAGGAGCCTGAAGGAATATCCCAGTAACATAGAGTATGTGAAGCCTGACACCTGTGAGGCAGAAGCTTGGGAAAATGGGAGCAGAAGGGATAGAGAGAGAGTGAATACCCAGGAAGAAAAAGCAGGTACTGAAGCTGGGGAGGAGGAAGTGACTGGAGGCCAAGAGTCTGCACTCCCAGAGGTCTCTGAGGCATTCAGAGAGTGGAAGAAAGCAGAAGAAGCAGGGTTTGCAGCAAAGAACCAGGAGCTGGGTGGAAGGCACAGGGCAGCATCAGGGACAGACCAGTCACCTGGAGAGTCAGATGCCAGAAAAACCAAGGATGAGGAGGTGGAGGCCAAGGTGCTCTGGGAGACAGATAAAACATCCAGGAGAGGCTGGAGGCTGGAGGGGGCAGCTCTAAGCCTCCAAGACAGTGAAGACACATGGGCCAGTCCTTTGGCTGCTGAGGTTGTGGAGGATAAGGCAGCTTCGGATGGAAGGGCCGCTGGGACTAGAGAAGGACCTGAAAGAGAGGCTGGGGAAACTTGGGATGAAGCACTTGGGCGAGGCTGTAACTCAGAGGGGAGAGAGGATGCTGGCAGAGGTGAGGAGCTGGTGGACGCCGCAGAGGGAGAGAACAGAGATGGG